ACGAATACATTTTATATTCACTTCACTGCAAGTAGGTTGATGAATGTTGTATTATTGAATGGTAATTGTTATTATCGTGATGGAATAGACAATACCTGGATTTGCGTCAGGAGAATCAATTAGGGGGCTTATATGTATTTTGCCCAACCTGTCGTGAATATGTATTGAATAGGCCTACTCAGTGCGTGATGCACTAATATACTTTTTTAAATCACATTTCTAAAGCAATGAAATATCGTCACGCACATTTGTGTTTGTGGTATTTTAAAGTGGTTCAACTATTATTGTGTACGTTTTTAAACAATTCAGATCATCATAATTCACAAATACATTTTAGATTTACTTCACTGCAAGTAGGTTGGTGAATGTTGTATTATTGAATGGTAATTGTTATTATCGTGATGGAATAGACAATACCTGGATTTCCGTCAGGAGAATCAATTTGGGGGCCTATATGTATTTTGTCCAACATGTGTGAATATGTATTGAATAGGTCTACTCAGTGCGTGATGCACTAATATACTTTTTTTTCGATCGTAATTTGCTATTTTAAGCCACGTCCTATTATACGCGAGTATATACGATTTGTTTTAAAACCCTAGGTCACCTGAGCGTTAGTCATACAGTTGCAGATTCAAGGGGGAAATTTTCCATGGAGGACCCCACCCCCTTTCATTTTAGGTGTTTTTGGAAACGTTTTGAACCCCCTCTTTCAAATCCTGGATCCGCCCAAACTGTGAACTTGGAAGCTGCAAATGCAGAAAGATGGATTAAGATGTACCGAGTTGTTTGGCTGCCAGGGAAAATGTTAGACAAGACCTTACAAGAAGTCTGTGCTCATCTATGTAAACATTAAACATATGTTAATAATTACGAAATATAATTTATGTTTATTTGCTTAGAAATAACATGTGAAACTATGAGAATGTGTATATGTAATAGAGATACAGCATATTTATGTTATTGTCGTAGTCATTAATAGAGTTCACAGATGGTTGATCAATTGGTGCACACTTTATT